CAAGCAGGTTCTTGGTTTGGTCAGTGGTTTCTCGGTGGTCCCTGCCTTAGCAAGTTCCGCAGCAATCTCGTTTTCTTTGTTGCTGTTCGTACCAGTTGACCAAGTGAGTTTTACACATTGTGACCTGATTGTGTACGATTCTAATGCCTTTATTGTGGCTTCATCTCCGGTTACGATGGTAATGTGCTTACGAGTGTAGGCTATTTTCTTCATTTTCCAGGTGCAATTTGTTATTGCTACGATGCTTGCTTGGAAAGCTGTCGTAGTTTTACCCAGGTTTAAGGTAATCCTTTTTCCAGTTCTTCCTCTTTCGACTATACCAGCGCCTGTGCCCTACTGTGATGACTGTGATGACTGATGGAGTCTCTCCACCATCTTGCTCCTCGTTTAGAACATATGTTCTGAAAGGTACCGAGATGTTTAGAGTTTTGATTCGCTCAGCTTTTGATCCCAGGGGTGCGACTTGTCTTCAACTTTCTGAAGATCGCACTGTGTCTAAATTCCGTCGCTTTTCTGAGGACATCGTCAACCATACGGTAAGCGCTTCTTAGGGTCTCAGCTTCAATGGATAAATGCAACGGCTTCAGCCCCAGGAGTGTCTCCATAGTGGCCGTCGGCATATCCCAGTGCGTAGAAACCCTTCCCCTCAAGAGACGACAGGAAGTCGGTCCACCACCAGGCTCCACAGCAGAGGCGACAAAACTCCTCCCTGCGGACACCCGCCGGCTACCCGTGCTTCCATGTTGACTTTATTGAGTGCGCAGTAACCGTTCTGCAACTCATCATGTTTTGGATCCATTTACATATTATAGGCTCCACTACACGATTTTTCAGTGCTCTGACCATTGACTGAAAAGAGGGATTGTCAAAGGCTCCCTCTATGTCCAGAAAAGCCGCCAGCACAATTGCACCAACTCGTGGACAGCAGATTCGCAGAATTTTCCCATTTGGTTGTGGTGTAGAGGACTTCTAGTAAGAACCTCTTCCCTGATATGCCTGTCGATCAGCTTTGCTAGTGTTTTCAGTAAGAAGGATGTTAGGCTGATCGGGCGAAAGGATTTGGTCTGGGCATACGTCGCCCACCCTGGTTGTGGAATGAATACTGCTTTCGCCCTTTTCCATTCCATTGGTGTATATGCCAGGGCCAAGATCGCCCGAAGTATCTTGCACAAAAGGAGCACCAGTAAATCGATTCCCTGTTGTAGCAGAACCAGCATTAGGCCATCTGTTCCCGGTCATTTAAATGGTCAGTCGGAACTCGTGGCCCACTTAACTGTTCACTGGTTTACGATGGCAGGCCAGAGTCCAATGCTCTTTGGTTGGTCCCACCGGTATCTCTTGTTCTCTGCCTGTTCCCAGTATTGATCCAGGACAGTGAGTCTTAAGCATAAGCTCCAAAGACTTCTCTTCTGTTGTTGTATATCTTCCCTGTGGTTTCATCAGGGCGCCCACTTTTTGCTGTGGTTCTTTTGAGAGTGTCTTATAGAGTCTGGCGTAGCTCGGCATATATTCGATATCTTTGCATTCCTTCCTCCATGATGCCGTTTTTTCTTTTTTTATGGCGTTGTCATATGTAGTCAGGTATGTTTTGTATTCACCCCAGAAGGCCTCGTTTCGTTTGGGCCTGTTAAAAAGCTTCCTCACCGTTTCCCTCATCGTTGAGAGTCCCGGGTTCCATTATTTGGATGTTTTCGTTTGTCTCTTCGACTTCAGAGGGCATGCGGATTCGTAGGCTGATTTTATTGCTGATGTGACGGTAGTCGCCTTCATTTCTAACTCCTGCACAGTATGTGCTTCAGTTGAGCAGTCCCCCAACTGCAGCAACCTAAGGTTCTCTTTGTAAGAAGCCCAGTCAGTTGTTTTCGGATTACTATACACCGAGAGGGGAACCTCTTCCGACTCGATATAGTATCGTACCTATGATCGGAAAAACTAGGTGTATGCGACACATGCCAATCTCTTATCAGTTCGCTGGTGCGGCCTGAGCAGATTGTAATGTCTATGACCTCCCTTCGTACCGTTGTTACAAAGGTTGGTTCATTTCCCTGATTACAGACTTCAAGTGATGAGGTCGTAAGGTATTCAAAAAGAGATTCGCCCCGTCTATTGGTGTCACTGCTGCGTGTCACTGTGCGTCAAAGGTCTGGTCTTAGACGCCTTACAGTGCTCGCGGTTGTCCTATTTGGTCGTGTGGCAGAACTAATGTTCGGTCCTCGCCCTTCGATTTGAGTTTTATTTTTATACACGTAAAGTCCCTACTACAGTGTTTCCATAACGGTATAGCTCTAAAGTATTCCTTATGAGAAGACATTGTCGTGGTTTTTCTTCAGATTGACAGTGGACTATTTATCCTCTGAAGTTCCCCAATCCTCCAAGTCTCCCCATATAGACTAATGGATCCTGAATTAGAGCGACATCCAATGATGTCTTTAGCAAACACTCACTGAGGGTGGCAGAAGCCGCCCGGTAGTGGCGAAGATTTATTTAAACAATCCGCAGACAGGCGGGTCGTCCAGCCCATCAGGTTTTCCTCAGAAGTGGCGAGGTACCTGCGTCCAGTGCCCTCTGTTCCACAGCGGGAATGGCTGCTCTGCGTTGCTACCCCTTCGCCTCCACGGTGGTGGCCGTAATGTCCACCAGCCCCCCGGAAGAACCACTTTTCTGGCCCTCCACGGTACCGGATGGCATTGCCTCCACCTCCATCTCCATAACCGTAACCGCGGGGGTTGAAATATTGACCAGCTCCNTGGCGGGTACTTTCCTTCCCTCCGTTTTTGAGGGCTTCATTGCCCCCTCTTTTGTGGCCTCTTGGGCTTGTTCAGGTTCCTTGCTACGGGAGAGGGCCCTGAACGTAACCCTCGAGAAGTTGTAGTAGGGTATCGAGATATGTAGTTGGATCTCACCCAACTTGCCTCATGAGTTTTGGTCCATGAGAATCCTGGGTTACTGCCCCTGCGCCTCCGCGGTGGTGGCTGTAGTGCCAACCAGCCCCCCGTAGGAGCCACTTTTCTGGACCTCCACGGTACCGGGTGGCATCGCCTCCACCTCCATAACAGTAACCGCGGGGGTTGGAATGGTGACCCGCCCCCCCGAGGTGCCAACATGTTGTCGGCTTCCCCCAGTACTGGCGGG